AAAACTGATTGAATAATTGAGTAATGAAAATATATGCAAATTTAGAAATTGTTTTAATTAATTAGAGACATTTTTCACTAATAAAATTGTTTTAATTCGTTTGTAACTTTTATTTTTATTTTATTCTATTTTTTCCTACTGATTATCTTAAGAGTTTTAAATTTTCTACTTCTTTAATTTGTAGTGAAATTATTTTATTTGGTTTTTCACGTACAGAATTAAAGATGACTTGGATTTCATGATGCGAAGTTCGACTTGAAGTACTAATTTATTTTAATCCAATGGTTTCTTTCTGACGATGCAAATTATTAAGATTGATTGAAAAAGTTGTAAAAAAGAATTAAAAATGCTGAATTGCTAAAAACTTTTTAAATCTAATTTTTGGTAAACGGAAATTACGATTTTATAAGTGAAAATAATTTGATTAGTAAATTATTTCTAGTCAGTAAATTATTTCCAAATTACAAAAATAAGAAGTTTCTATGAAATATTCATCAACTTCTCTTAAAATTTACTACTCTAAACATTTCTAGAGCCATAAACAAGTCTATTTAAGAATTCAACTTATAGTGTAAGCAATTCCCAAAACAAAATTAAAACCCCTCGTTAGTCGCGCGCGTGACACATGTCACCTATTGTTTTATTCTGTATATAAAACTTAACGAATTATAAATGAAGCCATCCGAGTTTGAGTAACCATATTGTTTTTAAGTAAATATTTAATCGTTTAATTGAAATTTATTTGCCTGGGTGAACAGTGCCACTCAGGTGAATAAACACTTATGTTATTTTGTAAACGTAAGTATCTAAATTTTTATAATATATAAAGATTTATGAATTTACAAGTATTCTGTATGATTTTTAATATTATTTATTAATATTATTGTCTGTACAATATATAATATTGCATGATAGATAAATTTCATCAGTTTAAGATGAGCCAAATTGAAACAGGTAGTACAGGGTGCTTGTATGTTTTATATAAAATTAAGCGATTTTTTTTATTTATTGTGGTAATTTTCCAATGTTGTAGCCATTACAAATTTTCAAAAATACTTTAAATCAACACAAAATGTAATATCAAGATTAGGTTTTAAATGTTTACTGTACACATGTGGAGGAACTCGAAACGAATATACCCATTCTTTAAACGATTTTCTGATAATTTATTGATTTTATATTATTAAGAACATTGTACAGAACATGTTTGTATATCCTAATATATTAAACAACAAGCAGACGTAAATTTATTGAACGAAAAAAGGAGGTAAACCTGTTACCTGGGTGACGAATGTTAAAAATTATAAAGCAACTGAAGAAGGATTAAATAGCAAAAACTCATTCAATAATGAATAAATCAATTATCAATAAAATTCTAAAAACACTATTCACGTTTACTGTCGGTGGATTTACACAGTTAATTTTAAAATATATAAATTGAAATAATATAGGCCTAATTAAAATAAAATATTTGCTTAACCGTTCATATACAATTTTTTTTAATAAATTTGTGTTTTATGTTTACTTTTTAAATAAATATTTAAAAAATATAAATATTAAAATTTTCATTATTATTAATTTTTTATCATAAAGTAAATTCGGCTATAATTTATAGCAAACATCGTTTAAATCGGTTCCTTCAATATACGAATATATACGACAAAAGTTTGATAAAAGTTTTATAATTCTGCATGAATTTTGAAATTTAAATAAAATTTTATTGATTAATTGCTATTCTCTGCTTAATTACATTAATTAATTTGCAAAATATCGTTTATGAAATACAGATTCGTGAAAACATTATCAATTCTAACAAATATTCAAATGTCTGTTTCCATTAATTAAACACAGAGACAAATTAATAAATTTTAAACGCATCATATAATCAAATAATGTGATAATTAGCTAAATAAAAACTTAAAATAATGTTGTTTCTAGTAAACATCACAGGTAAATTGTGTAAAACATTGCTTCCACTTAAAACACATCCTATAAATGTCATTATAAACGATCGAATTTATGAAGTGCATGACGTAGGGATATTAATATTATCTTTATTTTTAAAATTTAAATTTTATTGAAAAGATAATTAAACGATATTTGATAAAATATTTAAATTTATTATGTATATTATGAAAGTGTTGATATCTCAACGCTTTCAATATAAAGTATTGATATAACTTTGCCTCTTAAAGTAAAATCAATCATTCTTCGCGGCATCTATTGACACCAAATGCAAGAATTCTAAAGAAAACCATTAAGAAACGGAAAAAATATAACTGAAAATGTTTTATTTCTATTCGATTATAATTTTTATTTAAGAAAAAAAAAATATTTTAGAGAATTTCTGACAGAGATAAGCCACGCGGAATATTTTATTAACTTTCGAGTCTCTAGTTACTTTTAAGTTTTATTGAAAGAAAGAGATAATAAAATTTATGCCATCTTATCTAATATTTTATTTTCGTTTATTGTAGTAACACATCTTCAAAATGTAATAATATAATTCTTTTATGGATTATTTGATTTTTGATATTTTTATTATCAATTTTTATTCCGGAGCCATTGTTATTGTATGACTGATGGTGCGACTTATATAATGTGCCATAGATACATTTCTAAATGCAATAGACGATGGGAAGATAACTATAAGTATATGTTAGAATTCAAAACACTTTACTAGAGACTTCGTTGCATTCTTTTCTAGCTACATCAACTGCATAGAAAAGAACGAGAGAAACAAACATATATCTATATGCCTTCATAAAAGAAACTTGTTTCGTCTTTAGGGCATTACAAATCAGATTTATTGGCCAAAAAATCAAATATAAAGTTAGTTTATTTTGTCAGAAAGCAAGAAAAAATGATAAATTAGAAATAAAGAACTTCTAGTTCTGAATTTTTACTTTCTATTGTCTATGTTTATAAATTGATATGAGCCGTCGTGTTGCTTATGAATGTAATTTATTACGATTTTTTTAATTTATAAATGTTTGGAAACGAAGGAAAAAAATACATAAATTCAAAAACCGTGAAGACATATGTCTTTTGACAAACATATCATACTTTAGTTTTACTGACGTCTAGCAACAATCGATACTTTCAGCAATGTTCTATCATCAATAATTTTACTCAGAAAATTCTTTTGTTGTTTTATTGTGACGCACCGAAGAACTAAAAAGGAAATTAGCGAAATTTCATCTTAAAATTTATTTTTCATACCTTAAACTTTCCAATAATATTTGCTGAAGATGATCATTTATTTCAATTTTTTCTTTTTTATAAAAAAACTGTAATGATCTGAATTTCTTCTTGTAGAATATAAAATATTTGACTGTTTCCCCCCTAAGATTAATTTTTCTGATTATAACATGCTGTTGTTCTTCTAAAAAAGTTAATTAAAGTTAAAAATAACCTTATTTAATTATATATCTGATAAGTGTAAAATTTAATTTAATTACTATAATTAGAAACGAATTAATAAATCAGGTTAATATTAATGTGTGATATGAATCTTTTAAACTCTTTAAAACTTCTTTCTATAAATTAAAATATATTACGTATTTAATCAGAATGTTACTTTTCACAGAAAATTAACATATTTTCAGAAAATGTCACGTAAAAATAGTATTTAATAGTAAAATAGTTTAATAAATTAAACTTCTTTGATGAATAACGTATATATATATATATAGGCCTATATATATTATTCTTAAAGTTAATTTAATCGCATTAAATAATTTATTCATGTAAATTTAAACATTAAAAAACATATATTTAAAAATTATTTATTATAATAATATTAAGTATATGATCAATTATAGTTTTTGACGTAAATGGGAGAGAAAAAAACATAATTTTTTATGAGTAAATTGAAGGGAAAATGTTTTTATTTAAATTTATAAAAGCATAAAGCATTTTGTGTCTTAATGAGAGCATTTTCGGAATTAAACTAATTTAGGTCAAGCGAACTGAGTTTTGAAGCTTCTGCTTCTATTTAGATGATTAATTGCTTGTGATAATATGTTATTGAAGTGAGACTCCATATCCTAATCTGTCAAAGTCAATCGCTGATAAGCGAGAGAAAGCTAACTGTTTCAATCATACTTAGATAATAGCTTAACAGGTAGAAACAAAAGCTTCTTCGACAAATTTTTCATAATTTCATTCGAAAGTCATTTTAAATTTTCATAAGGAATTAAAATTCAATACCATTTTTTCCCTGCGCAGCCAATGGAATGTACTATACATTTTTATTTTCTTAACGTTAAAATAATTAAAATTCAAGTCACGTACATTTCCACAATATAAAAGTATAAAGACTTTATAAATTTTATGTTTAATTAAAAGAAATAATTATATACACTGTTATTTTATTAATTATTTTAACTTTCATGCCTCAAATTATATAAATTAATCTAAATCAATTTCTTATAGGGGGTTTAACCAGATCTACGAAATTACTAAAGTCTTCTCTTGTTAATGAGGAATTTGGCACAACAGTTCGTTAATCAGTGCTTAGTACTTTTAAATATTTTCTTATACTTTATTAATTATACGCTAACGAATACACTTTAAACTCATTTAATTTACTATAATCAACTTTATATGACGAGAATAAAATATTATATAACTGTCTTCGTGTATTTAATATTATTTATTCAAAGTTAATTATATTTATAGAGGATTTCACTTTCGAAAATTCGAAATATTTAATTTTCTGGATGTAAATTAATATAAACTCATCATCTCTTATTATTAAAATAATTAACACAAATCAATTTATATACGAGATTAATTTTTATAAATGAAAATACATATAATCGTTAGAGGAATTTTAAATATTTTAATAAAAGTTGTATTTTATTATAAAGGTGAGAAGTTTTCAGGATATCACAGCATCTTTCATGCTCTTGAAAATGGCATGCACCTTGCGCATACTCATAGAGACAGCGATCGAACTGCAATATACTTGAAGACACCTACGGCTCAGTCAGCGATAGAAGCCAAGTAAGTAAGGACATGTATTGTATCCTATCTACAGGAGAACAACGTGTTTTATTCTTTATGTTGGATTTCTACATAGAAAAACGCAACTGCCTCAATTAAGTAAGTTCCACCCTTATACGTTCTAAAATAAGCACAGAAACATTTATTAATTCTCCGTTTGTCTGTCTGTAAGTTATTATAAGCAACAAATTTTTTACCGTTTACGATTGCTGTTTCTATATTTTACGTATTAATTGTAATTATTGCGTTAATTAATTTGATATATTATTTAAATTTATTTTTATAAAAATTTTAATATAAAATTTCTTACAAATCTGATATAAAAATTTGATTATTTAAAAAATCTTAACTGTAATATAAATGAATTGTAGAAAACTGGAAATTTTTATTATTAATGTTTTAGGTCTTACAAACTCTGTTGATAAGGGAATTTTTTTTTGTATTTATTTTTGTTTTAACCATATGAACAAAGATGCATCAATTTATAACTGGAGGCAACAATTTTTAAGAATTTCTTAGATTTATTTTTCGTTTTGTTTATTTAAAGAAAAATACAACTGTGAATTTATATAAAAACACATCTGAAACTAGAAATTGTTAAACATAATAAAATTAATTAAGAATAGAATATAAAATTTTATACTTTTTCACGTTCCAGCACTAAAAAAAAAACAAAATTATAATAATCAATTTTTATTTATTTAAATTTTAAAATATATTTTTAGGAAATATTAAAATAGGAAAAAATATAATAATGTAAATATATTTTATAAAATTAATATCGATTCTTAAATTTAAATATATAGGCTATATATACAATAGTTTCATTCTTGCATGATATATTTTTCTAACTTGTTGCATTCTTCTATTTTTCCTATTTATTTTGTCGTCGTATTGGTTGCATTAAAGGTTATTAAATTAATAATTTGCTAGCTTATAAACGTTTTTAATAACAAAATAGAAAAATAAAACAGTTATCAATGTTGGAGTCAGTCCAAGAATCCGAGTTTTTAATAACTAGTAAATTTTTTATTTTTCACTTTTCTCTTGTGATTGGTATATCAATCGAAAAATATTTTTATCCGATTTATCAGATTGAGTTCATTATTCTTCCATGAGTAATAACTAAATTTTTATCCATATTAAATACAAGAAATGTATAAATGATGGCGCTTTACAATTTAAAATATTATATTATACACTATAATTGCATTTATTTAATTTTATTTATTTAATTATATTATTTAATTTTATTTACTCTTATCATCATCATTTATTACACCCCCCTGTGAAAATTGTATATTTAATTTTAGAATTTTATTTTCTCGCATTATAAAAATAATCTTTTACTCAAAAATTACAGCAAAAATACTTATTATTATTAAATTTTTATCATGTTTATTTAGTGTATAAAGATAATTCTATATTATATCTCGTTTAATCCAAATTATATCAAATGGATTAATATAATGCACGAATTTCACATTGGCTATACAGTTTTAACATTAAATAATCTTAACTTATCGTAAATACTCCCTAAAATAACCTTTATTAAATTTTCCTTAGATGATATAACGCAAAATTGAAATTCTATTCTCATGTAAATTGTATCCCTATGAAAATATCCTCACGAGAGGTATCACAAAATACGTTCCTATACCAAAGCAAAATCAAATTTACAGCTATTAAATACTCAGATGAGGAAGTAAATTTATCGAGATAAAATTAAAATATTCATTTTTATCTTTATTTATCTTACAATAATCGAATTTACTTAAAATAATAACTTAATTAGTTTATCATTTTGATTAAAAAATTCGCTTATATCCAATATTTATTTTGTTTTCATCAGTCCTGTAAAATATCTGAATGCAATTAATTTCGATTTATTAATATATAAATTAAAAAGTTAAGTTAACTACGTTGATCACGTCATTTATCAAATAAATAAGATTATTCCTTTACTAAATTGGCAATTATTTTTAATTGGATAGGTTATAAAAGTTAATATAAACAATATATTTTAACATATATTATTTTTTAATATTTTGAACTGAATAAAACTTAATTCTTTTGATGATTAAATGTTTAAGAGTAAGACAAAATAAAATAGTTACAATAAACAAAAAATATTATAACGTCATCATGATACCGTGCTGCAATATGTTAATCATGTTTTTAATTTATTTAATTTATAAAATACGCTCTCGATCTTAAATTCGTGTCTTACCCCTGTAGATCATACTTTTCCTAATAACAACGGAGTCATGCCGGACAGCTATATAACTCCGTTCTGTGGAGAATTTTGAATTCAAATCACGTTACTTCTTCTCTAGATCGGAAGTTCGTATATAGTTAACTGGGGCCTCCTGTCCTTATGTTTTCCATATCTAGTCTCGACTTTCGTCTATCTAACACCAAATTGTAGCGCAATTAGCCTGGACATTTTTATAATGTTTAAAGATCATTTCTCTAATTAATTCTTGAGATTTAAGCCGTATAATATTTTATTAAATAAAAATTATAAACTTTTGTCTAATTTATCCTTAAATTAGTCATTACTTTTTAATTTTTAAAAGTAAAAGTTTTAACTGTAAACGCGACATGATAAATTTAAGCTGATTTGTCATTATTGTATTTCGCTTATATTTATTTTTATTCGCTTTTATCTTCTTCCAAAATAATTAAAATTGACATTATGATGAGTTATATTTAGAGAAAGTGGGGAAAAAACTTTTATCCGCTTGAAATATTGTGTCAAGAACGTAATGAAATGTCCATTTGATTGAAGCAATTCGTTTTATTCAAATTTTAAGTTAGATAATTCGTTTAAGTAACTAGAACATTTCTTTGCATTTCTTAAAAACATTTTCGAGAAAATTCGATATATTTTTCGTTTCTTCACTTAGAAGAAACCTCGCAGTAACGGTAATTTTAGCAATTTCTTTTATGTTCTTTATGTCTAAATTTATTCATGTCTGAAGGTCGTACAGAGATTTTTGAATTTTATATTGCTTACACAATATACGTTTCTATCGGAATATTACCGGGATAGAAAATAATACATATTCCAATAGTAAGAAAATAGAAAAGATTTTCATAAAAATGAAATTGTTACCTGAGATGTAATATGGTATCTAACAAATAAGGTTTCAAGCAACGATAATGAAACATCTAACAAGAGGGTAATTGAACTACTACTTGTCTAATCTATTGCTATCTTATAATAAATTATGACAGCTGGATGGGATTTGGCACAAGAATATAATATGATATTTATCAAAAATTTACTCATGCAATGTGGTATTTCATAGAATAATTTTGGATACATTTGTTAATAAAAACATGCAATACAACATTCTATTGTTTTCTTGTAGCGATAAAGATGATGCTGCTGCAAATAAAAATCGATCTAAATATAAATTTAAACCGCAACTCTTTAATTTATCAGTAGAATAAAGTTCTTATTGCAATGTAAAATACATAGAAAAATAAATTAACTTTTGATTTAAAAAATTTATCTCATTTATTTTTGTTTTTCCTGAAAATAGGAAAAGAAGCAAGGTCAACAGTTGATAAGTATATCATATTGTAATATAATAGTTTTCGTCTATTTAATTTTCATTAACTGATAGAAATATCTTTATCCCTGTGAAAGCTACACCCTTTGACTTCCACTTAAACCATACTTTAAAATAATTCTACTTTATTAAACTTAAGGAGAGATCATATCAGGTCATATGTCTTATCTCAGAATCATTAGTAAAAGTTAATCGTTTTATATAATGTTACCATTAATTAATAGCAGATTATCTATTTTAAATTTCTAGAATCGAATTTTTAGAATTCTATTCTTTAGTTAGAATTAATTAATATTCTGTTTTCTTATTAAAAAGAGTTTAATTTGTGAAGGAATATTTGGAATGTAAAATTCTTCTAAACAAGTTCTATATATGTGTAAAAATCTGTATGTGGATTATACTTAATAAGTGTAATTTAATTTAAAAATAGAATTTTAAAAATCAATAGAAATGTAATCAATATTACTTCCCTAATTTATTTCAATACGATAGGCTTTATCGATAAGTAGATTTGTAGAAATATTATGAAAGTTTTCACATTTATCATGCTTTTAGAATTTCGTCAATAAAAATATCATATTAAGCTTAATTATTCTTTTACAGTTGAAAAAATCAGAAAAAAATTTAAATCATTTATAAAAAAATACTTTATTTGTATCTTCTGCAATTTTTTAAAGAAAAATCAAAGAAAATTGAAGTTTTTGTTTAAAAAAAATCGCCAGAATGAAATATCGAGTAAGACGTCTTCTTAATAGGTTTTTGATGCTCAGCACATGTATATATTCAGCAGAAGAAATGTTTATCAAAATTTACAATATGTAAAAAGTAATGAAAATGTTTTTGAAAGGTAATGTGTAAAAAATTGGAATAATATCTAAACAATTTTTTTATTATATCTAGAAGAAAAAATTATTGAAATATCAAAATAAGAAAAAGGAGGGATTGACAAAATTTTAGTATACTTTTTTACAAACATACTTTCTTCTATGTAAGAGAATTTCTGTTGAAAGCAGAATATTTTGTAACCTGTCAAAGATGCACAACGTTGCTAGATACTGTATATAAAGTTTGCTCAGGAACTGCCAAGAAAATCCACCTACTAAAAAAATGTGTACGCTTATACTATTTTTTTACACTTAATTTTTTAGGTATTTACGTTGTTATAAGAAATTCTATTAAATTTTCTATACTCAAGAGGAATTCGTGACGATAAATAAACGAAATTTCTAACATTAATCAAGAAAAATTAATACTTAAAGCATTACGACGAAAATCCATAATTAAAACAATTAAATTTTGATGATAATTCATAAAGTACAATAATTAAGAAAACAAGAAATTTTTCTAATTCAGTTCTCAGCAGATTATAAAATTTAAGACGAGATGAAATAAATTAATTTTCATTAATTAAACATATTTACGGTTCAATTACTTTTCTTTTTACTCCTGGTTGACGTTACTTAATACTTGATGTTTATTAACGTTTATTTTATAAGAATATAAAATAATAATAATTTT